AAAACTTTGCAAAAGACGTTAAAATTCTCCAACTGTCGAAAGAGTATTGGAAAACAAATTCGGCCAAGTTGTAGAAAAATCTTCCGACTTCTTTTTGTGTTTGTTTGGTTTCCTGAAAGCAACGAAATTTAGATATTCGAGCGAATTTTGGGACTGTGTTCATAATGTTTAGGCAAAGAGTTGCCTCCCTTAGCTTGTCGATGTTTATATATAGACCAAAACCATAGCGCTACGTACAGTGTTACGCAGGACTTGTAAGTAACGGGTCGCGTAATAAGAGATGACAACAGGAGACAAAGGTAAACTATTTATTCTTTTCGTTCCCTTATTTTACTCTCTCCATTCTCAGCGAGATTGTGTGCTTCCTGTGGCAGCACGAGAATAATACAAATTTTCCTAGGCGGCGCGTGGTCTTGAGTCACGCGATTGTTATGAAACTGCTGAGTGTGACGCCAAAAACCCACACAATCTGATCTGGATCAATCTGTGCACAGAACAACGGAAGTCCGTAATGTAGAAAAAAGGCAGGGATCCGTTACTTACACTACAGACAGAGAAGACGACTTAGGGCCTCGGGAAACGAGTTTTATTCACGCGGAAAGGCTTCAAATGAACGACGCACGTTGAAAGCCAAACGAGTCAATTCGAAATCGTTATAACTCGTTTGCACACCTAATACACAACTTAAAGTAAACGAAAGTTTTAAACTTTTACTTGCCACGAAACTTACGAGCAACATGACGATAAATCACGTAACATTTTGACAGCAAAAAAGCTTTGAATTTTAGCGAGCCCTATAGTAAAGTGTGGACCGTTAAATTGACCAGTCACAGCGCGCGTACTAACTGATAGATATAACAGAGCACTTTAATCTTATGTTATGTAATAACCAGTCCATTACACATCTGGCTTGACATTCAATAACGTGCCGTGACTCTTCATGACGAAAAGCAAGAGAGGTCATCTGATACGTTGTTTTCTCGGAATCTTCAAGTGTTATTCCAAGAATCATTGGCCGAAGTCTCGAAAATTTAATGACTGAGGTTGACAGTTACGTTTGCACACAGATTTAAAAACTGCTTACAGATATATTTCACAACAGAGGCAAAAGTCAACTTGGAATTGGCCCATTCATCCATGAGCGGGCTCAGGGAGCCTGTGTTTATAATATCAAGCATTGATTATAGAAGAATAGTTCGTGACATGACAGAAAAGCAGAAAACCTCAGATAAGTTAGAAGGTCCCTGAAAACTCTTCTGTGCATGTGCATCTATTTGACTGACTCTGAAAAAATAATAGAGAAGAAGGCTGCACATACAGTGAAGAATGGATGTCTTCTTGCCCAAATTGGTGGGAGGGGGGATATTATCGGCCCTTCGGGTTTCACATCTTTCGAAAACAAGGGAGATCAGGGCCCCTGGGCACTCTGCTAAAACCATCGGCCTGAACAATTTAGCACATTGTCTCGCTACGCACCCGGCCTGTCTTTGAATTAAGTGCCGTAGACGTTCATGGCGAAAAGCAATTACAGAACAGGTCATTATACTTTGTATGGGGCTGAAAAGGCTCTTGAAAGTGTCAAATAGTTCCTGGTTTACTAAACGTTTCGGCGTTAGTCCTTCTTCAGTATA